CAATGTTTGATTACTGAGTGCCGTCTATGGAAACTGGAAATTTTATTATTAGGCTTTTAAATATACCGTATTTTCGCAGAATAACGCTTATCGGCACGTTATTTTGAGTATATGCGCGTTATTTTGAGTACGCGCATGGGCGTTATTTTGAGACTAATATAAAAATTTTAAGCATCTTGTCAAACAATAAATGTTCCGGTACTAAGTGAATCTAGTTCCGGAGCATTTGTTGTAAATAAGCACCCTTACTATAAGATATGCGTTATTTCGGAACGTGTATGAGCATTATTTTGAAGCTATATATGTTATTTTTAGGGGGTACAATTTTCGAAATAACGCTCATGAGCATTATTCCGCGAAAATACGGTAGTTTGTAATAACTAGAGATGGGAAAATCGAGGTTTTTTTGAATCTACTGCGCAGCCTGTACAGCCTTAGTCCCTAGAGACTTTTATTCATTAGGTTTCGCGTTTATATATATAAAACATCTACTTCATATGTGTAAAGTTGGGCTCCCATCAATTTTAATTAGTGCTTCAAGGTTAGTTTAAACGTCAGTTTTTGTTGTTTTGCTTTTTCTCTGCATATCGGTGAATTAATAATTCTGGTCAAATTTGCAGATTATTTGGCCAGATCTAGAACAAAACAACTTTAAATGTGGTCAAATGATTTGCAATTTTGACCAGAATTATGAACGATGGATTCTATTAATCAGGTGATGCAGATCCGTTTTTCTTTGGGCCGATCTCCGATTGGTAATTCAAACCTGGATTATAAAGCTGGCCATAATTATGCCAGTTGGCCAGAATTATAAAAATTGTACTGCGCAGCCTCAAAAAATGCCTACGCAGTCTGCGCAGTATCGCATCTAGGGATGTCAACGGTCGGTCACGGTCAGTTTCGGTCAGTCATCATCGGTCATGAGTCATGACCGAACCGATCGTGGTCATGACCGATGAGTAATTTAAAATTTTAGTATTTAGCATTATTTAATTAATTAATGTTAAATTTAAGTTACCGTATTATACCATAAATAATCTGTCCCCTCTACCTATTTGCTAATAAATTCAATTTAAATTTACATTATTTATACAGTTTAGAGTACTTTTTAAAAAAATGAAAACCAACCACAATAAAACCATATAGAAGGTTTCATTAGAGCTATAGAACTCTATAGTCAAAAATAAGATCTAATTCTCGTCTGTTTAAACAAATTAGCTTAGTAATAAGTTGATTTTATCAGGTTTTGAGAAGTTATTACTATACTAACTTTTTTAAACGGATGAGAATTAGATCTTATTTTTGGCTATGAAGTCCTACAGCTCTTCTATACAGCCTTTTTTTATTTCACTATGATTAGTTTTCGTTTTTTTAAAAAGTACTCTAAATTGTATAAATAATGTAAAATTAAATTGAATTTATTAGCCAATCAAACGAACTTCTGTCTATGAGATAGTATCGGTCACACAGTCAGTCCTGTCGGTCAGGATTTGTGCCTGAACCAGTATCGGTCACGGTCATGACCGGTCATGACCGAACTGTTGACATCCCTACGTATAATATATAAATAAATTTTATTTAGTAAGCAATAGTTTTAATTATTTTTGTATTTCAATAGAAATTATTTAATATTATCATAATATCATCTAATAGAATTTATTATATAATTTTGTAACAATTGTTAAGATTTGCATACTAGTAGAGAATTCTAAAGCCTAACAAGTCATTAATAATCCTTTAGAGTTAACATGATTTATATTATTTTCAGAATATGTTAAAAAGCTCTTCTATATATAGTTTCTAATGATCTATCTTTTTTCTCATCTTATAAGGAATTTGTTTTGTTAAAGAAATATAATTTTACTCTTATAATCAAATTTTTATATTAAGAATTAAGTAATAAAATTTTAGTCTTTCAATAAGTTAAATATATAGTTAATATTAATATTAAAGTTTAGAATTTGTATTTGTAAGAAATAAAAATAACATGATGCCCTGGCTCCGAATTTCATTAAACGATCATTTGGGAATGCGAATAAATCAATTTTTTTATTGGTAGATATATTAATTTTGGTCATTTTGTTGATGAGTTTAATACTATAACACAAAAATGAAACACTCCATTAATATTAGGTGTGAATATATTGCGAGAGGGTAGATATCAAATTCAATGTGTGGAATTAGATAATAAAATCTATGTATTTAGTAGAAATAAAGTAACGATATTATTAAACTAAATAAATTAACTTAAACTTGGAATATTATGAATGCAACAAATCCTCCTGCTACATATTATGGATACACTGCAACATTTCTGCCAAACGGAAATATTTTGTATTTGCCAGGAATAAGTATCAATATTCAGGCTCTAGATAGTTTGGATAAGGTTTAGCTTTTTAAATATGTCCGCTACTCAATTTATTTTTATCGTTTATTCCTATCAATTATTTATATGTATCATTCAATTTTTAAAGATATTGATATATAACACTCGCAATAATCATGGAGTACAGTTGTAATTCAAATATGTAGTAGTATAACTTTTATTTATCTTCATTTTATCAGTTATGATTTAAATTAATTTAGACTGCTAATAGCACGATACTGCACTCAAGAAATGGATATACAGTTCTTATAGGTTTAGTATTTATATATTCCCGTTTTAGATATCAGCAAATTTGAATAGTCAAGTGTTGCAACGATAAGTGCTGGTGGCCCATTGCCAAACTACAATCTTATCTTTCAAACATCAATACCCTTATTGGAAATTATACTTTTGTTGGATTTTGTAGGTATATAGGTTTTTGAAAAGTCTTCATTTTTAAATAATAATATTCAAAAGGTTACTTTTTAGGATTTGTTGATAATGGAACAACCCAAATACTTAATAATGACATATTTCTTCTTGACATAAGTCAGAAGAATAATTTTAAATAGGCTAGTTTTTATTGTCCTCCAAGTTATTCACATAAAGTAATGAAAGTTTTAATACTGATAGTAATAATACTGGTGAGACAACTAAACTTTATCTAAAATTATTTTACCTATAATTATTTTATTAATTATTGAGTTTACAGTGGCTATCTTTATTTATAAACATTTTGACTTAAAGATTGTTATTATTTTAAAAATCATAAATTTATTTATAGTACTGGTAGAAAAAACCCTCGACAATTGGGCAGCTTTAATAACTTTGCAAAGGTTTCGAATGCATCAACCTTTTCAACCATTTTAAAATATTTTAACATTGCGTTTCTCATATTTTTGACTGGGTGAATTATTAGTATTCGTTTTCTTTGTATGAAATTGGGTAATGTATAGTTAACTTTCTTATCAAATTGTGCGAGGGTGTTGGAAGTTTTGAAATAATCAGTGTTATTGATGATAATAGTTCAATGTTCTATGTAAACCGAAACTTACTTCTTCTCCTAACTGGCTTTCAGTATTAATTTCACCTCCATTAATTTCTACTAGACTTTTACAAATTGTAAGACCAAGTCCTGTGCCCTCTTGTTTCCTGGCAATCGAAATATCACCTCGTGAAAAACTTTTCCAGGCATGTTGCATATATTCAGGGTTCATACTATTATTGTTTATTATTATTAAAAGAATAATTAGATAACGATATACTAAAATATTAAAATATATAATCTTAAAAGTGGCTCACCCAATGCCAGTGTCATATAATTCAATTAAGAGAGTTTCTTTTTTATTAATTTGACTATAAGTAAACTCATTTTACTTTCATCAAAATCTTCTCGCATTAACATTGAAATTGTCATTACCTTTTTCAGTAAATTTAATCCTAAAAAATTAATAATGAATTACTAATTCATATAAAAAAATAAAAGTAATCATAATTATGTAAACATCATTACGAATTTGATATTAAATAGAATAAAACTTGTTTCAGCCTATTTAATATAAAAAGTTAAGATAAGTATTTATTTATTTTATAAGCTGCATTAGTTTTAATTACCTCTCAGGATCGGTCCTGACATATCTTGGCAACTTATCTACATCATAATTTACAATCAATTCAATTTTTTTACTTCCAAATGCCTCAACAGAGTTGTCAAGTAATTCGAATAAATCAACTGCTCTATTAATAAGTGAGATTTTTTGTGCTTCTAATTTTGCAGCATCAAGGATATCATTTATTATCGATAATATTCCATCAGAAGCACTGTCATGATACTAATCATGCCTTTTGATCAGTTGTTAAGTCAACACCTTCAAAAAAAGAAATAATTCCTATTATTGCATTTAGTGGTTTTCTTAATTCTATGAAATTAAAATTAATTAGTATGATAGAAACTT